ACATTTAAATGAACTTTTTTTATAAAATAAAATTTAATTCCTAAAAACTCTTTATTCATTTTTATTAATAACAAAATGATATTTATACCTATTGTAGAATTTCATTTAGACGTAATAGTAATTAACTTGTTGCTGATAACAATAGAGTTTAAAATGTTGCTTTGCCTGTTTTAGTCTGAGTAACAGGGTAATATTGTAAACAACGATATAATGGTGAAGACGAATAGATCAAAAATGGATGTTTTTGTCTGTTTTACAGTGTGGTTGTGTTTTCACTGAGCTGGCGAGTTTAAAATTGCGAAGCTTCGACTGTTCTTCTAGACAACATCTTCAAAGCCCACTTCAACGTCAACTGACGAAATGATTGAAGATATTGTCTGAAATGATAGTGAAACCTTAGCAATTAAATTACTCAGTTCATAGAACAGAACTCTAATATAAAGCATAATATGAAGTATAACCTATTACTCAGTGTATAAAATGAGTCTAGGCCTACTGACTCATTTGAGTTATGTGGAGGACTGTTTCTTAATTACACTTTCTTATTTTCAAAGATGTACAAGTGAAAAACGAAAAAGTTGGTAAAAAAAGCAGAGAACACAGGACTCCAAGTGAACATACAGAAGATAATAATAATAATTTGCTTTATTCCAAAACAGTACATGTGATACAGAATGGAATTCTCAGCATTTTTACTACAGTATTGCATCCAGTTAGTACATTATCAATAAATACAATTCTACATAGATTAAGGAAATCTCAGTTCATTATTACAATAACACATTGGCATGACGGTAGCAAAGGTAAAGTTGAACAGTGTTTGAAGGTGTTAGAAAGGTAGGAGCTGTCATATTTACTGGCGTAAGCGAGAGAAAGAAAAGGAAAAGAAAGAAAGAAAATGTTGTACCTATAAATGATATGAGTTGGAAAGACGAGATCCAGTTTTACTACTGGCTATTTAATGAATTATAGGTGTCATGCCTAATGCTTTCTTTATCACACAGAACACGAGCTAAGTAGAGTATGGTCGAGTTTTTGTACTTGCTGGTGCGAGCATATAGTTTTCTATATAGGCTTCTGGTTTTACCTGATGAGATACAAGGGGAGAGTTGTGAGTGAAGAGGGTGGTGTGTGTGTTAGATAAAATGGATGTGGCCCATTTTTCACATGAGTCCATGTGCCTGTCGACCAGAATATTAACAAGCTGGTTAAGTGGCACGTTGCTTACCCCGCTGAAAACCTTTAACATCCTGCGTAATATGTTATAGTCTTTCTTCAGTAGCCCGGGAAAAAGTAAGGGGGAACAATAGAGAATAATAGGCAGAATGCGAGAATTGACGAATTGTAGGAGTAAGGGTAAGATGATGAAGATAACCAGCCAGACAACAATAGACATCAGTCACCATCAACGTCAGAAATTTGAAGGAGATGAACTCATTCGCTTATCTAGGCAGCATCACTTCGACTACAGCCAGCAGCATGAGTTAAACAACCAAAGCCAGTGAGGATTGGGAAGCAAGACAGACCTTTATTAATCTGAAATCAATGTGAAAATCTGCTTCCCCAAGAATGCAGAACAAGATTCTGATTTTCAACACTAAAGTCAAGCTAGTGCTTCTATGTGTTCCAGAGATACGGCGCTTGTTTCAAGAAAAGCGTTTACAACAGGCTTCAGACTTTTAGTAAGATCTGCATTCGTTCTATATTGTAAATTAGATATCCAGCCGGAACGGATAAGCAGTAAACAGCTCTGGAAACGAATCCGCCAAAAAGCTATTACCCAACAAATGTGTTTAAGGAAATCGAGATGGATTAGACATATGCTGTGGAGACCACTGAGTGACATCGCGCTCCAAGTTTTCGAGTGTAACACGAATAAGAAACGTCGAGATGGCCATGTGTTTGAGGGTGACACAGATGAGATCATGTGAGGGGGAGATGACAGATTCAAGTAAAAAGCACTTCAGAAAACAGGATGGAATGGAGATTATCATTGAAGCTGTATTATCCATTCGGGACTTAATAATTCCGAGGTGATTAATGATATTCATTATTAGTGTTGCATGTGCTCTAATCATAAAGTAGTGGTAGAACTCTGCGTAATGTCATATGAAAAAACTTTCAAAAGAAGTTAAAGGCCTGCGTTGAAGATTTTACCTGAAATTAAAGCAAAAACGCTTTTTTCTTAATTCATTTATGCACTCCGTAGCATCTGGCTCCAAAGAAATTATTAAGTTTGGCTTTTGTAATCACAGAGTTTCCCATCTACTATATAAATATTATTTGCAGAATAAATGTTCGAGAGTCGAAAATGATGCCATTTTTTTATTCCTTCACGTTCCCAGCGGAACATAGGGCTTCAACTTACAGGCGTGAAGTTTTTGTAGCATTTTTTATTTTTACAGGATGAGGTTGCTAGCCTCATTCATGCCCAACCTTTCCTCTTTACCAGCGTTATTTCTGGCTCAGCGAGGTAAAGGAGTGCGTCGGCCGGGGATCGAACCCCGGACCATGTGCATGGTCGGTGAGTGTCCTAACCGCTATGTCATGCAAGTGTCAAAGAAAATTAATTAATCACCAAAGTAGTAGTATTAGTAGTAATAGAAGTACAAACCCTTACACACATACGTTTTCTTAGATATATGAAAACTTTTCCAGTTTAATTGTGTTTATGGAATGATTTTTCAAGTGAATGCTGAAGGTTAAAGATGTTGTCTAGAAAAGCAATTGGAACCTCACGATTAAACCGTTCAGTTCATAGAAGACAACTACACCAGTATAGCCTACACTATCCGGCACTGATGTGATCGTAACATGGTCTAGTTGACTGTGATCTATGAGGATATAATTAGCTAACAAAAACTACTCTAATCGATAATCACAAAGTCAGCCACAACAACAGCAGTGAGGAGACTACTGACATGTGAGAGTAAGAAATGAAGATGAACCGCTGACAAGAAAGCTTTTACAGTCTCATGCGACAATCACAAAATTGTGTTTGTTCGTTCAGCTTCAAAGTTTCATTGGTGAGAGTGTTTTTTATTGAGTGAGGTTACTAGCCCCATACCCAGCCTTCCATTTTTACTAGGTCTACTGCCGGCTAAGTGACGTCAGCTAAGAATCGACTCCAGAATACATGAGTGACCGATACGATACTTTATTTACTAGACTACTTGGGTCACAAAATACTTGTAAATAATGCTAAATACATAAATGTTTAAATTACCCTGACTAACATCAAATTAACAGTTAAGTTAAAAAGAATTTAGTAACATCTGCCTTTACAAAGAGTGGGAAATGGAGGTGGCACCATGGGTGCGCAATAACTGCTAGTGACAGCAATAAAAATTGGTTAAAATTACGGGGTATATAAAAGGCATGTTTTAAGTTATATTCAGTTACATTGTGTCTAAATTCTAAAACAGTTCTTTCCTTTTGAATGGCCTAACAGTGTATTAGAGATATTATCAGATTTTTATACATGATCGTTACACAAAAATTAATTTAAAAATGAGGGAAAAAAGAAAAGATTCATTCTGCTGTTTGAAAAAAGGATGCAGGAACCACATGACTGACTCATTATCAGTTCATATTTTAGAGTAAATGGGATGATGACGTAAGCACACGAAGATAGAAAGTATACAAAAGTCACATCACCTTTTAAACAAATAAAATGAAATTTACCCTAGCGGCAGGAAAAATCAACATAATGGCAAAATAGTGAAATTATAAAATCGGTAAAGAGAAAAGACGGTTACGTGCAACTGTACTAATTATTTGACGGCATCTCAACCAGGACTTCTACACTTTTCACATTATTTTAAAAGCGGTCAGCGCGAGGTTTCATTGAATATTTAAAAATACGCTTATGTAATTAATCGGCTACAGGTAATGACGAAGTAAATGGGTTTTAAACAAGAACTAAACAGAAATGGTCGACATAAAGGATTATTAATTAATCTGTAAGTACTAGATAGGAGCTAAACAACAAAGGGAGCAGCTGACTAAAAATCTCACTATAAATTTCAAAAGACTGGGTTTGGTGAACAGTGAATAGTCTTTTCGATAACTTTTTACTGATCATGTTCTATTGTTATAAGTCCATAATAATTAGCGAATAACTGTTTAGGAGTGAAGGTCAGATGGCCATTTGGAAACTACAAACAACATGAAACTCTGGGAACGAACCGACCAAGATCCTATTGCCTAACAAATTTGCAGAAGGAGACGGAGATGGACAAGACAGACTCTGAAGAGACACCTTCAAGTGGGATCGTATGCTAGACCCTCTAGTGGAACTCGAATAGAAAACGATGAGTTGGACATCCGAAGGCAACTTCATGAAAGCTATGTGAATAGCAGAAGAAATTCTGTGTACAGTCGCGGAATCAGATAAAACAGACTGAAGACAATAGAGTGGAATGGAGATGCTCTGCTGAAACTCTGTGCTCCACTTGGACTCCAAAGGAATAACAATAATGTTAGTGACAGTAGTAACACTGAACGCTTATGGAATATAAGGAAGTGTATACTAGTCTGCTGAATACTTTCTTACTGTCTTCTCTGTCCTTTTTATTCCTATTCCTCCTGCTCTCAAGAATGCAAAATATAACACATGCATGATTACGTCATAATTTCTTTTCATGTAAATTTTTACCAGCTTTGTAAGTGTTTCGTTGTCAACCTCGTGTAATATAGGAAACAGCCACTAGTAGTAAAAACATAAGTGGCTTAAATACTTACCTGTTTATTCAACCGTATGTTTGTTTATTCAGTTTATTAATTTACAAGATTAAAATTGTTAAGGGATTGGTTGATTTCTCAAAGGGGGCTATGAAGTGAGTTTTTTTTTTAAAAATATTATGCACAAAAGGTGACATTTAACTTCCTTTTTCCCATATTAGGCTAAAGTTATCCAATTGAAAAATTCACTACTGCCTCATTACTACTTTACTCTCTCCCTCCCTTCACCTTGTTTGTCCAAAAAGAAATCTGTGGGTGTTCTGCAGAATAAAAGTGGCATTTTAATTTTACCTATTTAAATGAGAAGTTTCAAAATATTTTATCTATTTTATTAAGGTAAGTCGTAGATTTTTATTTAAAATAAACCTCTTTTTGTGAGCTTTTATCGTGAATTTGTTAGATATTTGTAAGATAAGGGGTCATACCATCATGTGCATTATATGTAATGATATAAATTTCTTTACTAATGACTTCATTGTACTACGTTTGGCCCTGATATTGTTTATTTCTAAATTGTACGATATACTACTTAAGTAGTTAAATTTTACAAATGAAATGTAGCTCACAAGTATTGGTTTACAGGAATTTGATTGGTTTCATAACGTCGTTGGTTCACCTGTAGAATGCTGGCCCACGATGCATGCAGTCCGGGGTCTGATTCCCCACCAATGCACTATCGATCCTCACTGAGCAGATAGTGAAGACGGGTAAAGAGGGAAGGTTGAGCATAAGGTTAGTAAAAAGAATAACGTCACTGCTACTGAAATTTCAAATTGCTTGAAGCCTTATGTCCCACTAAGGATGCAAAGGAATAAATAAAAATAATAATGACCGATTTCAAACCTGATCACAAAATGACTTCATTAGAGAACCAATGAAAACCAGGAGGAGTGGACTTGGGTTTTATCCCTGTTTGGGTAATATGTGTGCGCCGATGAAGTGTCCAAAACTGGGAAGAAACAGCCACTCACTACTCCCTGATTTTCAGTGGTTCTCTGACTTAAGTCAGCTCCTGATTAAACTAGAAGTATGGCTATTGTTTCATTTTTATATAGTATGTTCAGTATCACATGCTAAGCAGATCCTCAAGTGGGACCTGAATGGTAAAAAATTGGTTGGGCTTGGATCCAAGCATGACATAAAGGAAATCATATGAGAAAATGAAAGCTTGTAGGTAGTCGTAGAGCCATCTGAAGCTCTATATTCCACTTGGAACCCATAGAACGGACAATAATGAAGGGTTTTAGTTGTTCATGTTTCCATATAGCTCAAACTTTTCTGTACCCAGAGAAACGTTTCAGCATTGAATTTCACTTGAGAAATTTTTCAAAAAGAATGGCAATTAAATTACTTTATTTTCTCGGTTAAATACATCTCTCAAAAAAGAACAGCGTAGTTGCTTTCCTGAGAGTAATTATCAGGTAACTATGATAGACGATATAATCAAGTTAATAGCTAAAGAACAGTTAATCGTTGGAAGGAGAAGACATATATGGGTGTAGACTTTCAGGGATAATAGGGGAAAATAGGTTGATCACTTCTCATGCACTTCATACTTGTCAAATTATGCTTACTATATTTTTTTGCATAATTTAGTATTTTAAGTTGAATTTGAGACTTTAAGGAATGATAAATTTCAAAGTTCGTTTAAAGCTTTTATTTAACCACCCTTACGTCTTCCCACTCTAATATGCATGCGCACATGACACAAATTCCGCTCAAATTCTCTGGTCATTAGGGGGCAACCATTGCTGTGCATTTAGTCCTGGGTTTTGGTCTTGACTAAATCCCTTTAGTCGATTTTGCAAGGAGGTCACGAAGCTGAATGACTCTTTACCGCGATGCAGTTCGAACTGGTACTAGGTAGCTGTAACCAATGAGTAGAAAGCCCTAGACATAGGTTTCGCACTCGGTGGCACTTACCAAAAAGGTATACTTGCCACCTTGGAAGAAATGATGTCCCTTCATTAGCCAGTACTGCAAACAGAGACGTTACCACTAAGCTATTCCGGTTTACCAATGACCTCCTATATGACTGTAACAGATACACTGATTGGCAAATACGGAGTAGACAATTCCATGTTTCTTGCTTTTTGTGTTTATGCGTCCGTCAAGTAGCGAAATGGCGAGCGAGTGCCGCCAAACATCAAACATAGACCAGGGGCTTCCTGTAGACCGCCCCCAAACTAACTAACATAGATCCTACATAGCTTAGTAGTGCTTGATGATTTTTCTCATCGCTGAAACTGAGAATTAAGACTAAATAATGGTTTACTTTCTCTCAGCAAAGCATCAGTTGCCTTGTTTTAAACACACAAATTACCCCGGATTAAAACTCTCTGATGAGTTAGAAAACCACCCAGCCCCCAACATTAACTCACCGCTTTACATTCAGGTTCTGAGATTAAATTAGTGAAAAATTTCTGTCTGATAGTTGATCTAACATGTAAACTTACCACGTCCAGTCTGTGTCAGGGAACGCAGCTCACGCTCGGAATTATACTTGTTGCAAGTTATCACAATGGCATAACAGAACCCATCATAAAATTGATGTTCTGTCTGTGAACTGTAACCTACACTAGAGGTTTTACCAATAAGCTTCCAAATTTATCACTAACTTCCCGTAAAACTGCACCATTGTCAGGCGGTTAATTTATGCAGATAATCTAGTCCTAGAGGAATTCAAACTGAATCTTATTATCTCAGCTGATCGGTCTCTGACTTTAAGCCGATATGGCCCAGACTAGAAACTGGTGAAAGTAGACCGTCTGATCGACTTTGTCTTAACACTTAACACCAGTTTTATTTCACATTGCATCGAAAGATTTTAGATCAACTCTCAGAAGTAGACACAATCACTGGTTATGTTCAAGTAGCCATTTCAAATAAGAACCATGCTCAATCGATTTTTTTTAGCTTATGTTATAAGACTAAACTACACTGAATGGTGGCAGCAGTTAGGTTTTCGGCATGGTAGTAATCATCAGAAGGACATTCTTGCATAAGGAATATCGTAACTGATGTCAGGAAGAAATTATGAAGACAACTTACAAATGGTACAGTAAAAATTTTGGATGCTACCCGATATTCGGTATTTACTTACTAATGGATAAATTAAACTGGACAATAGATTTCCGATATAATCGACCTAGTCTAACATAAAGCTGGTATGAGATGGCTACGCTCAGTAGTTTACTTGCACTATCACTTGTTTGGTGGTGGCCAGTGGTAAAATCCAGAACTCACGTTTCATCCAACCTTGGGACTCGGCATCTGTGTGTACCTGTGTTTCAATGAGTGATGGTATTTCCATCAGGAGTCAAACCCACAGTATCCATCTCCTCAAACACCAAGGCGTTAATCACTATGTCAGTGGGCCACGAAATACAATGAGCATTATTTGAAGTCGTTTATCTATAAGTGTGATTCCCCATTGAAAATTTTGAACCAAAGTGTTTAGCCTCGTTTGGTTATATTAACTGCAAGTGAGCATATAAATATCCAGACATCTATTCAAGAATGCTTGATTAATTCCATTTAGAACCACCAATCGGTAATTTCTGTTTATTTACAACTTTATTCTTCTATTCTCCAACATTTCTGGAGATGTGAACGCCGATAAACATACTTAATTAAGTTAGAAATTCGTTGATGGCTGCCATCAAGGATGCCTGAAATATAATTTAATTTATTAACTGTTTGTTATATTTATGAAAATGGAGAATTCGTAATCTTCACTAAAACTTCTGAAGCACGCCTGCTGAATTCAACTACTAGCCACCATCAACGAAATGACTCCATGTTAAGCTTAATCCATTGTTGGAGCAGCTGTATTAGGATCCGACACATCAGTATAAACCCAGTGCTTCGGCCCAGTAAAATTAAACGACGGGCGCTGGTTTGGAGACTCACTCAAAACACTATCACTTACTGGGGATGAAATTACCCCCAACTAACGGGTCCAAAATAAGACGAAACACGAAACCCGGATTACTCTGATAGCTACCGTTAAATAAATTAATACTTAATTCTGATAAATAACATCACTCTGGAGTATCTTAAATGAAGATTGTAATGCTGCTTAGGTCGTATACATAATAATTCCCACTTAAATGGAGCATATTCAGGCTTAATCGTGTGTTTAAATGTAGTCTTCTAGAATATTATTAAGCTGATTTATGTTTAATAGGCAGTATTACTCGCTCAAAGCATTTAAATCACATGAAAACTGCTAGATGTCTAAAGACTATTTGGGATAACCTTGTTCAACTGGTACTGTACTTTAAGTAGTTTTGTTTAAATAGGTAATTGCTCAATTGTCAGTTGATTGTTACACATTAGTTTTAACTAGATTTTACCACAGTGTGTTCTGTTTTTAAGTGAGTAGATAACAAAAGGGACAGAATCTATACATACAGTCAAGAATTAAGTCTCATTGAGAGTTTGTACCGGAATATCTGTTTTTAGATTTGCTTTAAGATACCAGTTTTCTTGAAATATCTTTCTTTCAAACCAGAGAACTTACACACCTATTCGATGTGATATACACTTTCACATCTGATATTCATGCAGTTATTTCTTTATGTATATAAATGCTGCACACCTCTATCTCGAACACTGTGTCAGTGTTCATTTATTTGGTGTATCTCTATGACAGTAATAAATATTCCTTCTTTTAGTAGATTAAGTGGACACCAAGGTTGATATAAGAAAGCAAAAGAAGAATGGTTATTGAAGCTTCTACCTCAGCAGCTATGAGTGAGTTTCAGGCACTTTTCAGTCTGCAAAATATTGTTAGGGGTATGTAACAACCAATGACATGGATTTCATGTCAGTAAATGCATATATAAAAAGTAAATCTAAAAGTATATATATAAAACAAGCAGGATCAGTTCAGCTGATTACACTCCTCACAGAAAAACCTTCACAATTCGAAAGGTATTCAAAGTAATTTGAATTAAGAACAGCTTGAAGAGAAACAAGACAAATAAATGAAAAAAATACAATGGAATATTTAAGACCGGATAAGACAATAAAAAAGGGTTTACCCTGTAGAGATTCGTTTTAGGTTATACCAACCATAACAACGTTGAAGATAAGAACAACAATCCGTTTCTGGCACCTTTATAGTCCTAATTAGTTAATTTATGTCTGTTTATACTTAGACTACTAATCAGTATTCATTATAATAAAGGTTTTTGTATCTCCCAATGAATGGAAAACAAAACGATATTGTTTTTACTGACGTCTCGCTATTTAATGCTAATAGTTTTATCAAAGTATTATTAAACCGGAATTTACAAAATCTCAGCATATATATATGGATATATATATAT